TAATTATTATGTATGCTATTATGCATGCAGTGATCAGAGTAAGAGGTGGATAGGGTTGGAGTCATTATGCAAGGACTGGAGATTTGTGTCATTCTTGGCGATTGTCAGTAGAGCAAAGAAATGGCTGCCCGAAAGAGTACCAGAAGTGGGCATCATTCTGACTCGGGCCAAATCGTTGTGCAATACTATTTCGATGGTTTACGGGACAATTTGACTGACTTGACGGAAGACTGCAATTAGTTGTCATGAGAATACAGTACATCATTAAAGCTACACTATAGCTTTAGAGGTAATACGGAAAAAGTGATATCTTGTCGTTATATTGACTTGAAATCTGAACAAAAAAGTGTATTTAACAGCCAAATAAATGTGCATCCGAATGCCCCACCGTCAAGCCGGCCGAGGCTTTGTGGATCAGGGACATGTTCTATCCTACAATCTCCAACAATGGACCTCCTGGCAACTACTATTCGTGGACACATTCCCGATCCTTCAGGCGTTTTTCACGCACTCTCACCTTCTTTGATCGGGCTGCAGAAAGGTGATATCGCCTCGGTCTCATCCGCACGCCAAACGGGATTCGGACGCGGGTTTCGAAGCCGGTTGCTTTCAAACACTTTCATGCCTCCGATTCGCCATTCCGCTTGGGCTTTCGGCCGATCGGCTGTCTTGACGACTGCTCCCTTTCTTCCCGACCAATCAGAAGGAGGAGGAGGAGGAGCTAGTTGACCAATTGAATTGCAGTCGAAGTGGGCTGCAAAAGTGTAGCAACAGGGACACTTAATCAGCTTCCTAGTGCTTCTGGAAGCCTTTTCCTGAAGAGCGCAAGAGCGGCCAGAAACTTCCGAAATCACAAATCAATCGACGAAACCTCAGCCTCAGACTCAGACCTTGGCCAGTCAGGAAGGGCAGAAGGTCTTGCTGATAAAGACACTTTTGGAATTGGTGATGCAGTAAAATGTAGACATAAATGATGCTTTTACCTCTAATCTCTCTCGAAAGATGAACTATAGAGTTGATTTTACCGTGTTTTCGCGACTTGTCCGCTTAGCCGGGACCGTTGTTGCCATGTCCACTTGCAACCGCGGACCGTGGGTCGAGTAATAAGTGAACACGTAGTCAAATAACTAGTAGCTGGTATGCAAAAAATGACGGTTTCTGCTGCATGGCAAGAGCAAGAAGACTGCAACCGAGCCAATGGCCGAAGCATTTTGGGCTCCATGTTTATGAATGATGAGATCAAATGATAGATTTCCTCTCTTCCTGCCAAAGTGATGGGTACATTTTGACTTCAAATTGGTACATTTTCACCTTTTAGTGAAACGTTTTTTTCATTCTATGTAGAAATGATGAGCAAATTTTACTTTATAATTCAAAAATACGCTTCTTCAGGTATTTAGCTAGCGGCAAGAGCATTAACTTAATGTGAAAGTTGGCCGATCAAATCCATGATAATGCGAACTGTTTTGGTGAAAAAACTATAAAAACATTGGTAAATGGTAAAAGGTCAAACAGGTTAATTGGAGTAAATAGCAAAAAAACAAAGTAGACGAGAAAAAGGTGGCCAGGAAATATGGATCTCGCGGATTTGCCAACAGCTGTTTACTTAATTTTGGCGAAATGAGTAAAAATTCCCCAAATTTGCATACCCTATTTGCATGTTTTGACACTTGTGCGATTTGGGAGAGACTTATTGAGAGTCCGTCGATGCCAACGATGCTTGAATTGGTGGCAAAATATGTCCACTGTAATCCGCAAAATAACCAGCTAAAGTATGAAAAAGTCCATCTGGGATTTGAATTTCAGGACAGCTAGTTAAAACTCTTACCAACCTTCGTTTAGGGTCGTTTCAATTAACATCTTCCGACACAACTGACATGTCCTAATGTTATGGAATGCCTGCATGTGCATTCGTACCATCATCGAGATGAAGTATGCCACCAGCTTCATCTGATCCGGATCACATGTCTCTTTGTGATAGCCGGCAAAATGGGGTTGGACTTTGCTTTTTCACACTAACCAGTTGTCTAGACTACGGCTAAGGACAAGCCACGCCGGACAGACTTACATATCTTTCACCATTCTGGTCGAGTTCAAGAGACGCTTTGCTACACAGTCTACTACTTGATGTACCCTTGATTAGTGAAAAAAGTATCAATTTGACGAATGAACTTCGACATTCGGTGGAATACGAGAAGAAAACATCGCTTAGGCCTCGCGATGCCATGCCTGCCAAACGGCTCAACTGGACTGCTGTTTCGAGCAGGCTTGGTTCTCATCCGTTCCCCCAACGGGACTCGAACCCGGGCAGTTGAGTGTACCATGTTGAGATGCTACCACCTCTCTCGTAGCACAGTTAATATAAAGTAAATGTACTACTTACATTCACAGGCTTCGAGAACATACGTAGATCCTGATTCGGGTTCTAGTCAACCAAAGTTGCAGAAGGTGGCGAAGGATGGAGAACTGAGGTGTGAATACTTTTGAAACATACTTTATATGAATGTTCGTATGTTAGTCCACTGTAATGGCAAAATACAAGTTCGATTAAGCAACAAACACGTTGAAACTAGTCGCTATACCACTCACATTTTTATCCTGCTGAGGTTGCTAGTCATACCATTGCAGTTCAGTTCGGACTTGATAAGAATGCCTTTGGGGGAGTAAAGCAACGCAAAAGGATATGGCAATTTTAGACATACTCAACTTCAACTATCCGTCCTCCAGCACACTTTGCGAGATAGGGGCACTATGAAGCCTATTCGAAACCTATTTTCTGTGAACTTCAGCACTGCTCGAACCGCCAAAACTGCCAACTCAGCCCATCGATGAGTGTGTGAAATAAGCATTTCGATGTAAAAAAGACAACCAATCTCCTTAGTGTGATAGAATAAGAGCTCACGCCTAACCGTTTGTAGACAAAGCCAGGCTACAAGAGGAAATATATTTGGACTTTGTTAAAGTGGCAAGACTCTTTAGTCCTTTGTGCTTGGATCCATTCCACGAAAATGTGGCCATTTAGCGTGTTACGTATGGATTTCTATGACGATCGTCAAGGAAGGGATTACAGGGTTTAGTTACAGGGTGCCGTTTCCGGTTCCACTGACTGTATGAAGCTGCACGGATGAAAGCAATAATCTTCACTCAATTATGCTTACTCTTACTTAGTACTTGCAATAAACTGCCTTCACCTCGTCTCGTCTAAGGTGATGAGAGAGTGGTAGTCCAATTTTCCCATAATAACATGAATTGGAGCACAGTTCTTACTCAAGATTCACGAGTAGTCCCGAAAGCCTACTTAAAAACGTCTGAATCCGCCACCAGAAACTTTGAATATTTCAGCATTTCCAAAAAAACTAAACATTTTTTTACTCAGTTGCCTATTTTCAAACAGGATTACATTTATTTTTATGATATGTAAGTTGACTATTGCATTTACTCGCATTAAAAATGTCTCTATATTTGAGAAGTATTCACAATCTTTCGTTAAAATGATGAAGGACTGGTAGTCGAATTTTTTTCATGATCCGTTGAGTAGAGCTTACGCTTCCATTGGTAGTTTCTCAAAGTAGATTCTCTGGTGGCCTCGAAAGCCTACGTTTAAACGAAAAATAAGTATTTTAGTCACTTGCTGTAGCAAATAGAACTTTTTTACACCGGCAACCGCGCCAAGAAATGTGATGTGGAAAAAGCACATCCTGACCTTTTTTGGAACTAAGATCGACGCCATGACCCATGCTTTATGTGTCGAGATTATACACTGCACTACCACAACCAGGGTTCGAGTCCCGCCGTGGGCGATTATGAATCAAGGCGGATTCAGAACTGCAGTCCACTCAAGCCGGGATGAGAATACCTTTTGGGAAGTAAGGCTATATGAAGACTACTTATTCTGTGAAAAAAATCTCATTATTCTCTGTGCTCACCATCTGCCTCAATTTTCGCTTGAATTCTGTATGACATGCATCTATAATTGTTGAGCTTACTTCCATTTCAAGTGAAAGTGTGCGGTGAAGAGATTCGAAGGTTGGTTCCACCAGAAGACGACGGCGGATTCTTCTTGACCAGCTGTCGGTTGGCTTTACTGGAACATTCATGCTGACAATACATTATCAAAACACTAAAGCTAAGATTTGGTTGGTCCTTTTTCATGTCAGTCTAAGCGTTTGTGAGTTTAAGTGTATGTACGTTTGTATGCAGGTATGTATGTATGTATGTATGTATGTATGTATGTAGGCATGTGTTTGTGTGTGCGTGTGTGTAATGAAAGAAGATTTAGTGGAAACCCCTGAGGTTGCTGGAAGAAACGAAACAGGAAATGGAAGCACATTTTTGTACATCATAAACTTCCGAAAAAGGAATAGTCTAAAGATGGGTAAGACCTTGGTAATAGATGCGAAGAGAAGTTGGGTTTCGAGGAATCTCTTGTTTGATAATTGTTGAGTTTACTTTCATTTCAAGTGAAAGTGTGCGGTGAAGAGATTCAAAGGTCGGTTCCACCAGAAAACGACGGCGGATTCCTCTTGCTCAGCTGTCGATTGGCTTTACGGGAACATTCATGCTGACCCTGTTTGCGAGGCAATCTCCTTCGATTCCGGTGAAAAGGGGCTAAGCTTTCGTCCGTCATGTGACGAACATCATCAG